GGCAAAAACTTCCCGATTAATACAACATTACCGGCCGGGCATGGACAGTGCATCATGACGCTTATCACCACCTTGCGATGCAGGCCTCAGGTGTGTCGACAATCTAGAAAGCCTCCGTATCTATCAACAAACATTGCTTATCATTTTAATGAGCTTGCGTTTCTTGACTCAAGTAATTAAACTCAACTGGGCAATCCATGCAGGATAAAACGATAGGTCAAGCCGCATAGTTATATCTCCTATGCTTTGATTGTCTGGCAAGGGAACAATACTCACATTTTATTCCACAAAGACCCTTAGCAATCCGGCTTATCGATAGAAAGAGACCAACGACTTATCTTAGACAGGGTTAAGCTCATACAGCATCGGATCATCATCACATGAACAGTATTTGGAGCCTTGGAAAAGTTGGTAATAAAAGCACAAGTTAAGCAACGGGAGCCTCGAAGTTATTCATATACAACTACCAAGGATTCTTCCATGTACAGCTAGGTGGAATAGCGACCTCGAAACTACGGTGTGCAATGACAAATACCCGAGTGAGTTGATATATCATACTGTGAGATTGCAAGCCTCAATGGCAACATGCCGAGTTCTCACAGGCACTCCCGAGATGCTATACGCAGTATGTGAATGACCGAGCTGAAACAAATACACATACTGGCCATGATACTCTCAACAACGTTACTGGGATGGATTCGGAGTTTCAGAACCAGGTCCCGGAGTTCCTGTTCGAAGTTTCGACAATCCTCCCGGTTTACACAGGCAGTGTGAGCACACTATGAGGCAGCCTTCGCCGCTACAAAAGGGGCCACTCTCAGAATATCCAGAATAAGACGAGAAGAACGTTCTAATAGAGCTTCTATCTATGACTATCACGGAGATATAAATTAAGGTAGTATAAAGATGATATCATAAGCGAAGAAGCAAAGTTTGTTTTCAGCCTCACAATCTAAAGTTAGTCCGCCAAGATCTTGGTTCAGGGTTCACGATAGCTTCAATGATGGCTGTGCCGTCCATGCTCGGGACTGAAGACAACAAAGATTGCCGCGTCGTAGCCCTAGGACATTGTCTGCAAAGTCATCACTACTGGTACTAGAAACTCTGAATGTGATGACAGATGACCCATTGCTGGTCAAGGTTATCGTGAGCGGCGTATGGGTTTCGGTATTAGCAGGGTAAGGCCCCAGGGCGGCCGCTCGATATGTTGAGGCTCGGGCAGTAGAGAGTATTCGGCAGATGTTAGTGGGGGCCGTGGGTACGATAACAATCACTCAGCACACTAATTGCAACAGCCTATTCGTACTACTATATTGTATAAGTCAATACACTTACAGCCTACATATATGAGTTTGGTGATGATGTGTCCAAGAGGCACATACAATGTTTCCTTGCCGTATGAAAGTGCCGACATACATACAATCTTACAACGCACTGCTACTCAACACCATCTGATTCTGAGGACTCAAATGTCAGCACTATAGTGATCACAAGCACACAGAGCACCTCGGTAGTTAAGTTCAAGCTCTATTTTGAGCCTCGCTCTTCGACCCCAGTTTGTTCCGTACCGAGCTTTCGACAGCTTTACTTCTAAGGGTTTCCTCGGGTTGTCATGCCTTACATGAAAGTTCGCCGAACCATCGGCCATCATCAGATGCTAAACCCTTACAGGAAAAACTCATCCTCCCCGGATCGATCCCGCGTGTTACCCGCCCATTAGCGTGGGTGTGGCATGACTTGAGGGGGTGAAACGCTCCGCTTACCTATGTATACACACATAGTGATTGCAAACTCACTGGTCACACAAACTCGTTGACTTTGTTAGGCCAAGATGATTGAATCTTGCCAGTTATCGTGTGGTGTCATGTCATGCCTCGGCTTGACAGATGGAGATTTACGTGCATGTCTACCAACACCAATTACAACAGACCTTTCACAGGGCCACCATGCTTGAAGATTATTTAACGTTTCGCACGTGTCTTTGCACACCATAATACGATATAGGGACTCGCCTAACCTTCACTCTAGCCTTACGCAGTTCAAGTCGTGTAAGCGCCCAACCAAGTGCGGGCCGCCTCCTCCAAAGCTTGGCTTGCATCTGTAACCCTTGTCCTGCTGTGCATATTCGGAGGTTACACGCAAGCAAAACTCCTTCGCCAACGGAGGCGGACCGACTCTACGAAACTTGTTCGAAACAAGAAATCGCCGTGAGCAAGATGTGCAGTTCAAGGATCGGAGGTGTCTCTATTTGTGGTTGCGAGTTGTATTGACAGAGTATCAATTGGACACTGACACACTCTTACATACTACCTACGTAAGTAGGTAAGGTAGCTGGAATAATACCCTGTAGCTCCCCCAGCCTCTCCCGCAATTTGTCGGAGTACTTCTGTTGTGATGAACAGGGGTTGAAACACGCACTTTCACGGATGCGGAACTCGAGAATTACAATCAGAGAGTTGCAGTCGAGAGTTGCAGTCGAGAGTTGCAGTCTCGCCAAGTTGCATACTTGAACCGCCAATGCTGCTCTGACTGCTTGATACTGATGCATAAGAAAGTATATGAGGTCCGTTCCACATACAGAACAACATCCGTCGTATCTATTCTCAGCAAGACAGAGCGGAAGTGAAATCGCAGCAACTGAGACATGCTTCCGCGAGCGCCTATAGACGAGTCAACGACCAGTGAGAACGCTCATCAGAAATTTATGATAGATTGCATTATGCATCTTTCTAGAACAGTCACTCCCGTCCCCCACCTCTTTCATTACAGCCCCCAATCGCAACAACACCCATTGCTTGATGCTTGAAGAGAATCAAGATCAGACATGCTGACTTACCTTGGCCATGCATCTACCTTGCATATTCGACTGATAGGTATGAACGGCTGCATGAGCACTTCCCTTCACCGCATCGTTCGTATAAACAACTCCTTTTCGGATAGAGAGTGAAAGGTGATGCGTAATATCTCGTTCCGCATAGCCGTGGGTAGCAGTCCGGTCCTTGACGGGTATTACGACGGCGACTACCCATAAATTACTAGATAAACTCGGTTGATCGGATCGCAGATCTTTGATCTTACGGGTCTCGTGTTGTCTTCCTGCTGGTGGAGTAATTCCCATCAAGTATTCTGACACAGGTTTGTAGCGGCGATCACTTACGTGCATATGTTACTCGTTGAGCTAGGCACCAGTTTTAAAACCCTTGGCGTATAATCCTTCATAATAGGAAATCCGTGTCTGAGCACAGTTTTGGGTGTATTCTTCGCAGAATTGCTGACGTGGTCGTGCGATGTTCATGTAACGGAAATTGCTGGACAGCATGCAATTGACCCTAACATTATGACACGATAATGACTGGTCTTATGCTTTGACCTCAGAATGTCTCGCACGGATTACAGGGCTGTGTAATACGAATTAGGGTCCTGATTCAGGAAAACCACAGTCGAGATTGAGAAAAGGCGATCGATATCAATAAGTTAATGTTTGCGAGCACATCTATCCGTACGTACAAATCACTGGGCGAATAAGGCTAGTAACTCGTTTTCTATTGCCAGTGTTATCACGTATCCGAGGTTATACTTTCAGAGTCCCAGTCTTGAGATTGCTGGATTAGCCTTGTTGCAAATCAGATATATCATGAGTCTGCACCATGGTCGCACCCTCTGGTCGGCTGTGTCTGAGCTTCAACGTAACTATGATAGATATATACACAATTGCAATTAAATATTTATAAGTCAGAGCAGTGTTCTCACACTGGTGTCCGGTTCTGACCCCATCTGGTCAATGAACATAAGGAGATGGTGAGTTCAACATCTACGACTACAGCTAGAATCTGAGAATAAATGACTGAATCAAGTCTATACCAGGAGCTTGGTTCGTGTTCCTAAAAGTTACAGAACTGTATTATCGAGTGTGAACGGGGGTCTCAGTGGTAGTTGGCTTACACACTCGGTGTTTGCCTTGATGAGGCGTAGACAAGTAACATGAACAATAACAGGTTGTGGGCGAAACCTTTACATTCCAATTCCTTGTATTTTGTTCTATATTTGAGTTAGTCCAGTGGTATAATGTGGATTTTCCCGAGTTCAGACAAGGCGAAGAGGGGGTCATGGGTATGCCTTGGGATACTGCCATTCTATTAGTAGTTGTTTCTCAGTACAACAGACACAAATTAGAAGCAATTGCTCATTCTTTATGTTTCTTTACTGTTTGCTACATCGTGTAGGTATTTGAAAATAGCAAGACTCCCTATCCAGTCTCACCAACAGGCCCAGTTACAACTTCGTCGCGCCAATGATACGATACATACAAGGACTGTTTGAGTTGTATCGTTCTGATATATATATTGATTCTTTCTGCTTCTCTTCAGCTCCTTGGTGCCGTATAGGCAGTGAAGCAGTTGTTGGATGTTTTGATCGTGCAAGTTCATTCTTCCTGTCTAATGCTCAACGAAAGCACGTTCTTGGATCTAATGAGCAACGAAGAACACAATACCAATGCATACACAGTACCCCTCTGCTCTAATTATAGTACAAGGTGTCAGGACTTAGTCGGTTGCTACTTCAGTGAACCAGTGTTTCTCGGCTTCGACACTACTACACGAAGACAGCCACCCAACTTAAACTGAACACTATGAGCGCCAGGACAAATCCTCAAGGACATGCAACCTGAGTTTACAAACTCTTGTAACCTTTTACTCTCTATTATTATTCGGGTTATAAACGACATAGCTAATCTATCGTCCCCTATATCACAGAGCACTCGCATGCCTAATCAACCATCTGGCTCTGTTGACAATTCTAGTTGAATATAGAGAACCCAAGGGATGGTTCTATAGGCCTTGATATAGTTCTGACTCGTAGTAACAGTTCACGGAAGACAGGTGAGTATTGGCCCCTCCAATCTACACACCGTTCGCCGAGTCAGTCAGGTCTGTATATGGGATAGTTTCTGACGACCTTCATATATGGCAGCTCAACATTATCTCTGCTGTTGTGCGGATTCAAGGCCACAGCTCAGTCTTCTCCCAGGAACCATCCTTCAACTGGTAATTCCATCTCCTGCCATCCTCGGGATCACTTAGGTCAACCTGGTCCACCTCCTCCGGCACAATCACCACAACACGGAAGTTCTTTCTTGCAATCTCGTCATCTAGATCGTCGACTTTCTGACCGAGTCCGAGTCCAGGGGCGGGCTTTTCGTCTCGCTTTGTACCCGGAGGAGGATTTCGGAAAGACCCTCGCATGCCAGGGCTCAAGTTTCCGAAATGTGCAGTGATCTCTTTACCCCAGTTCCAGGAACCCGAGTCGTCATTGTTTTTGAGGCGCATGTGCTTTTCTATCTCTTGCCTGACGTGTGAGGCTGATGGATCATCGATATCTTGGCCAAGAAGATAGGCGCGGCCACGTAGACGCCACTGAGTCTTGGTCTCTACGACCCAGAAGACCGCTTCAACAGGCCCACCGCCGCCAGACTGTGGGATATTCTCTCCGTCAGTTGATAGTTCAGGGACTTTTTCCATACGAGCGTCAGTGGTGATGGTGAGAAGGTCACTCTCGTAGAGAGAGGGGTTGAGAGGTGCCTGGTTCTTGGGGTTGACGGGAATCTCGGCCCACGTGCCTCGATACACGACGGTACGGGAACGAGGAGTGACCGAAGAGCCACGGTGGTGGAGGGTGCTGAGCATGAAAGTTGGAGATTCCATCTTATCAACGTGTGATAGAAAAGCTGAGCGCCATGGCGCTGCTGGTATCGGGTGATGTGCCGACATTGTGTGTTGAAGGTGGCTGAGAATCTGGGTTGTTCGCTGGATGGGTCGCGCTACAGGGCTCATTGGCAATGAGAATTGTGAGATGTCGCGGGAACCTTGTTGCCGCACTTGACCGTCGTGAGGTAGTTGTGAGTGAAAGCTGGTGAGGAGTGTTAAGGTCGTCAACCCCCACTTCAACATACAGCATCATAGGTCAATAATCGGAATATCGATCTATGAGTCATTACGACAGCAGTTGAACGGAGCATATGCCAAAGAGTCAACTGCTGGATTGCCAGCGGTATGGCATCTACCTCAAGCCAATTCCCATGCCAAATAACGGGTAGGGTAGCGAAACGAATGAATCATCACAGGATTCATGCCTTTTACAACACCTTAGTCTAGGTTAGTAGGTAGCCGCTGAGCCAATAATGATCCACCCACATATCCAGAATATTTCCGCCCTCGGGTCGTACTTTTACGATCGTTTTATAAACCCGTAGTATCACCATTTAGGTTTTATAGTGTTAAGCTTGGTCTTTCTCGCTGCAACGTAACACACTGGTGATTTGCATCATGAAGTTGACAACTAGTCATGGAAAATATAATTCAAGATAGCTCATGACTCTGCTAGGCTCGCTTGACCTTGTCTGATCCTGCAGTTCATGACTAATTAGCCTGCGAACTCATTAGCACAGATACTCATCACAATTGTTCAACAACTGTTGACATTCCAGGGGATGCATCCGGCCAGGGTTCAACAGCTCTAATTACTACCAAAAAAGACATCGCCATATGCAAGCTACTTTACGCAAAGAATATGACGAGGTGGCCGCTCCAAGTCAAGAGCCAATGTTGGCAAAGAACGTTGTCACTTGCCGCAGGGTATTCTGTCCAATACAAAAAAGGACATTGCGTACGTCATGAGCTCCGCCTCGGATTGGTCAACGAAGTTCTCTCTGAATGTTCTAGACCGTCTGGGGTCCGGGGCCCTAGGGAGGCTAGCAGCGGACGGAGGCTGGTGGGAGGGAGCGGCAATACCAGCGGAAGTTGGTGACGCGAACAGGGGGCTGTTACGAAACTACGAATTGCCGTCGTCGCTATCGTAATGTAGGGAGATAATCTTGAATGAGTTGGGGGGAGGGGGGGGGATCGACCAACAAAAATGGCGCTTCTTGACATTTTCCCATACGTAACTTGGCCACTATTGTCTCGTGTTTGGTGTGTTGGGAGAAGAAGGGTAGTGCTTCGGGGGACTCCGATCAAGAGGAAAAGAAAAGAAAAGAGAAGAAAAGGATCGACATCGCTTCTCTCATTCTTTCTCGAAGCTTACCTTGTACGTAAGTTGATGCACAGTAGCCCAACTGCCAACTGCCGCTACATTCTTGGTGATCAGACAAGACGTCATGAGCCAGCGAGAGGAGTCCAAGGGAGATTTAGAGTTGAGAGTAGGGATTTGATGGAACGCGGCATACAAGAAAGGGAAGATCAAGGAAGTGTTCATGTGTTCCGTTCCGTTTCCGTTGACAGGGGCGCAGTTGATATTGAGTTTGACTATCAACGACTGGGATTTGTCCGGCAGCTCTGGTAGGTCAGCTTTAGCGGAGAAAGCTGGAGTTGCTCGTCTCAGGCACGGAGATCGACTGGGACTTGTCGGAGCGATGTATTTCCTCAAGGCGGTCGACCAGAAGACTTGGCTTTGAACCAAAGCTGCTGGCGCCCGACTTTACCAGGGTGCCGGACTGTTGGGATCGGGTTGGTCTTGCTTCTGCGACGATCGTTTTCAGATGCGGCCCATTCAGAACTACCCAACCTTAACATGGTTTCTCGGCCTGTCCTCTAACTCCAAGTTTCTGCGTTGCAATTTAATCAGCGTCGCTTTTCGAGTACCGGTCAATCCGCTGGGGTGATATATGTATGAGCTGATGTGAGAAGTTTCAAACGAATTCTTCTGAGATAGCAAGGACCTCGAAGCATGGTTGACTACTTCGGTTGCACTAATCGCGCAGACACTCGCCCATGTTCAAATTAACTACCGTATTTCTGCTCTGGCATGGCATTTTGACCAAGCCTGCATGTATGTCTCACAGTGAGATATTTTGAATTACCTCAGTAAGTCAAGGCTAGAGCGGCGCTCAGGGAAGTGGAGATGATCGTAACTTGGCCATGAGCTTTTAGTTAAAAAAGACCCTGGGCCTGGGCCAGCCATATTGCATGTTATTTCCCTAAGGGTCGCTCAAATCCAATGGTGACATTTCACGATGTCCCTAAACAAAGGTTGGAATAAAATATGAGAATATGCTGGTAGGGTTCCATATACAGATCTGCACACTTTTTGTGTCAAGTCTGCGAATCGAGCGACAACGTCCGTACTCCGTACTAGCTGACCGAGTCGGCACTTGTTGACGAGGCCTTCAACCATTAACGGAGTCCTCGGTCGATCCGTGCACCGTTTAGCTCTTGATAGTCACGGAGTACCACTTGAAGGGGTACCTGACCGAGCCTAGAGTCGAAAAAGGAGGCTGAAAGTGAAAGGCCTCGCTTGAAGAGTGGGATGGCCAATTCTTGTTTCGAAGCGAGGTGGGAGACCCCAAGTAGATCAGACGGACATGTTAGAGAATGAAGGAAACCTGGATTCATAGTCTGATGTTATTTACCCCTTTGTATCGAGTAATGAACGGACGGAGTCTAAGAAAAGGTTTCGACGGAACATGGCTGCGGGCTAGTTGCATTAGGGGAGTTCGGTAGTTTCCCATTCGCACTAATTGGGCGTCAACAATTTGCTGCAATCATTTGCGCCTGTCAGAAGTGATTTCGATTTGTATCGATAGTTGTAGATCTGGCGTCCAATGGTGGTTGCTCATGGCGATCGAGTGTGGTTGGAAGAAGAACGCCAGAGTCTTACTGAGTCTTAGTCATGTGCAAGAAGCCGACAAGGACAACGAAATGAAGCCAAGTCAAGATTCGGTAGCTATCCGTAGGCAGTCTGGTAGTTGGTGATAGTCTTCACTTTGACAATGCGTAGGGCGTCATCTGAGTAAGTATGGCCTGAGTCGTAGAACGCATGGATACCCCTAGAAGGGTCTAACATCGATCAGACGGGTGTACGCGAAAAAGATACATGTAAGATGAAGAAAAACAGCCGCGATTTCTGAGGTGGATGGATGAAATTTGTTGTTACCCTTGATCTTGGGCAGGTACGGAAGACAAAAAACCACGCGCCAGCGGGCGCAAAATCCGTACCTAACGCATACAACTGCCATTAGAGGCATGGTAAGTTAGGGGTCTCCCGGTGGAAAGGTACCTACAGTACTAGGTAGTAAAAACGCACTTTCTAGAGTGCTGTTGCCATTTCCACTTTGTTACTTGCTCCGCCCCCGCCTTTTTTTCATACGCCCAGGGCATCACTCCTCTTATTTTTGACTCTTTTTCCTCTACTGTCCCATTTCGCAATTCCCTTTTCTTTTCCGGGGTCTCTCTCTTTCTTTTTCGGTTCCATTTCGACCTTGTTATTCCCCTGGATTGATACTGCACTTTAAGAGGCTCTTTTACGCTCTGGCCCTACGAACGCGAATACAGTACCTGCTCTCACTATATCCGTCACTGACTGCTCCCGCCAACCGTCATCATCAGTCGTTTTCTACCTACCGTTACGGCTGTTCTAATGCTTTTATATCGCCCAGGGCTAACAAACTCTCTGCCGTCTGGTCACTCTACCCCAGCTACTGCCGCTACCGCTACCGCTGCCGCTGCCCTGCCGCGGCTGCCCATATCCGGCCGTTATTTCCAGCGCCGCCCACTGCCATCAGCCGAGTTCCGGCGACATAAAATCATTCCCGCGTCAGTTTAAATCAGCAACTCGTATCAGCTCAGATTCCAGTCATTATTCCCGGGATCTTCCACCTAAACCTAAAGCTATCCCCAGCCAAGAGCTATCAGAGCTCCAGCTCCAGCAATAGCTAAAGCTCCAGTCCCAGCTCCAGCTCCAGCTCTGGATCCAATCGAACTTCTTTTCGGTCCAGGTAAATCCCAGATCTCGGCCCCATTTTCTTTCAGATCCAGCTCCCACTCTGCAACGTCTGATTGACGTGCCTGTAATATCCTCAAAAAAGGCGCTCATCCACTGGACCGAACATTTTGGTGAGCTTTGTATCATCGTCAATGGATCTATCACAGCGGGCGCTTCCGCGTCACACTCATCACCAACCACCACCATCTCTCTCAAATCCTTCGCCCTCGCATCTGCCGCCTCAACATTCTACATCTACGTATAGTCCCGGTCCCGTTGCCTCACATCCGACTCTCCCTCTTCCCGGAACTCACCCACCATCCTCGGCTTTGACACCAGGGTCGGCCTCAACATCCCCTGCATCCATCTCCCACCGTTTACCTTCAGCATCAGCTTCAACGACATCAAGGCATCCTCATGGCGATTATCTCCCTGACGCGGATGACCAAGACGCGTCGACACCCGTGGATGGAGAAGAACCTCCAAAGAAGAAGCAAAAGCGCAACAAACCAACTCTTTCATGCCATGAATGTGTAGAGCGCAAGACCAAGGTACGACAATTCTATCGAATGTGTTTTCTCATGTTGTGTTGTGCTGTCTGCATATCATCTCACTCATCTCTACTCCATGCTCCTGTTCCCCATGTGAGATGAGCCCACTTTACCCCGACATTATGGCTCAGTATGGAATTTGATCATCCTGGGTTGTCTGAACATGCCCAATCTATCCCGCTCCTTTCCTTCTGTTGCGTGAGAGTGAGTTAAATTTCCTGGATACATTACTGACATTATTCAAAGTGTGACAGAGGTCGACCTCATTGTCTTGCCTGTAAGTGCACCCGGATGTTGTTTTGCTGGTTTTATACTAACATTTAGCTAGGTATAAAACGACAGACTGAATGCCGATATGCCCATGTCGCAAACCTTCTCGAGTATGAAGCCTCCCGACTGAGTAACTATATGTTCTGGTTTAACAATCAAGTAGGGAGACCACCAGGTCAGCCGCCAATGGTCGCCGTATGACAAAACCCCCAAAGAAGAAGTCTGGTTCCAGTGGGAAGTCACCCATTCCAAATATCGCAGATAGGGGTATGTCGAATGATCCCAGGGCAACCTCGCGTGGCGCTGTTGCTCTCTCCATCGGCCTTCTGTCGAACGTCCCTTATTCCTTGCCTTCTGCAAGTAATGTTTTTGGTATCGGGTCTGAGCACCCGTTTGCCAACTACTGGACCTGTGAAGGGGGCTTGCCCGAGGTTATCTCGGTGCTTCCAGACAAGATTCAAGCCGATATACTGCTTAGCCGATACTTCGAATGCGTTGACCCCGTGTATCCCATGATACATCGCCAGACATTCTATGCAGACTACGAACACTTCTGGCAAATGAATCAGCAAGAAAAGACCGATACAGATCCATCCTTCATTGCATTAATCTTTGTCATGCTGGCCCTGGGAACTCAGTTTGTAACATCGACTACATCCCCGCAGGAGCGCAGGCAGACAGCAGAGTTCTATGCTTCGGCTAGCAACCAATCTCTCCGTATCGCATCATATCTTAGCAGTGCATCGTTAAGGTCAATTCAGGCTATGGTATTGCTAGTTTACTTCCTTATAAACGACAACCATGCTTCGGATGGATGGGCATTTGCAGGTATTCTAATTCGGCAAGCTTATGCTATGGGTCTTCATAGAGATCCAAATATTGGTGGGTGACTGTTTTCTTGATTTGCTCCTTTCTCATACTGATTTCTTTCAGTGACTCCAAATGCCACCCTGTTCGAGAAGCAGCAGCGTCGTAAGGTCTGGCAAGCGGTACTTCTGCAAGATACTTTCTTGACCGTCTTACTCTCGCTGCCACCGTCTGCGACACATACAGATGTTTCCGTGGAAGACCTACTTGACGATGGCTCCTCGATTGCAAATAGCGACCCAACAGATACGGCATATATTCGGGGCTCTTGGACTTTGGCCAACTTGGTTCAGGAGACGATCTGCTCGCCAAGATCATTAGACCTACCAATCTGCACTACGGCGAGGCATAAGTCTAAGCTAATTGCTGACTTCCGAGCTGTTTACCGCTCGTTCCCTGATGTCTTCCGGTCTTGGGATCCTGATAGTATCACGGCGCTTGCAAAAACCAATAAGAGGGTAGTTCGTCAGACCCTGTTCTTGACGAGCAACTACTTCCATAACTTGATGCTTGTTCATGCTTCCGAGAGCCCCGATGTTCCTGTCAATGTTCGTGGTACATTGGAGGCAGCGCACGACGCCATTACAGCTTTCTTCCTTCTTTTCGCCCTTCTTGAGATAGAAGCACGTGTTTGGTGGGTGTTCAATCACCGAGCTTTCTTGGAGGCGCTCTGTATCGGGAATGTCCTGAAGGAGGCTGCTCGAGAACCAGGTGGTGCAGATATGATGGCAAGAGACCCTCTCCTTGTCAGGGCAAAAGCTGATATAAGTGAGTCTTGATGCCTTTGTTGTTCCCGGCCTCCCTGCTAACATGTCAACAGCACGCATGATCCAGATCATGCAGGTTATGGGCGAAGACTCTGAGGTAGCGAGGACCCGAGTGCAGGTTTTGAGTGACTTTCTGGTATGAATGAGGCAGTTGTCTGTTTGTATAAAAGTGTTCTGGCTGACGACTGAATGAGTCGTGAAGCATATTCAGGGGTAGCATTGGTCCAGCACGTCAGCAGATATCTAGCAAGGCATGTACATACCGAAGGCCATATTGTTTGATATTCAAGCTGTGAGTTTCAAATGCATGCTAGAAGATAAATAGAGCTTATCACAATATATGCATACTAAAGAGAGTATTATAATGCTTCTTCGTTGTTCTCTGATGTTGTGTTTGTTTGAATTTCTTGGGATATATGTCTGATGAATGAACTATCCAAGTTGTCAGTAACCACAAGCAAATGGAAGGAAACATTATGGTAATGATTTATTGGCAGTCTTGAAAATATTGAAGGCATTGCCATACTCAAATATTGCCAAGACAATCGAGGCAAGGGAATTGCCGATGCCGTTATGCCCCACTCACGACACCAAAGACTCGGCCGGGGGCTGAAGGATGGACTCGTCAGCTCATGGTTAATGATTGGCCACTCGCTTAAAGTGTGGGTTGATTGATTGCGTCGCCCGACCCTTTCAAGATAAGGCCGTCAGCCAGGCTATACTCAACAGGGCTCCAGAGCTGTTTCAGTGCCTAAGCCGTCCTGCGTTACAGGGCCATTACAGGGCCTGTTTTGGGAGGCATCCGCGTGGCCAGGCTCCCACATCCCGTCTAGTCGCGTGGGCTTTTTCGCACTCATTTCCACGGGCATGTCATCACCTCGACTCAGCTCGTCTCGTATTTGCTCTTAATTCTTTTTTCCCTTCTTTGAATTATTGATCCTTTCCCTCCTTGTCTCATTTTCGTATCATTCTGCCTTAAGCTTCTTTGTAGCGTGGCTGCCTGCGTTACATTCCCTGCTCTGCTGTCTGTGTAAGAGGGGTTTTTGCAGTTGATACTGCTCAGTGGCCTACGATACCTAACGAGAGAGATTTTCGACCTTCACACTTCACTATGCGCGGCCTTGCTCAGGCTGCCATGGTGCTAGCACCGACGTTGGTGTTGGCTCATGGACCTCACCATCCTCCTCCTCCTCCTCCTCCGCCGCCGCCTCCTCCTCCCATGGGATTTCTCCCCTCAGCTCTCGATGTCACACCCTCAGCCTTCGTCACAGTCAAGCTCCCCTTGAGCGAATCCGAATCCTATCCTCTGGTCCGTCTTTGAGACTTGATCACAATGCCATGAACTAACATGTAATAGACACTACGATTTGATGTGGAGGAATCAGAAGAAGTCTGTGGCCCAGCCAGCATCACCCTCAATGGCGAACCCCTCAAGCAAGACGCCAAGGGTCGCGGTGTCGGATCTTTCCTCATCAACAATGAGACCACTATTTCAGCAGACTGGGATTTCGAATGCATCGGTCCCAAAGAGTTCCCCTTCGGCCAGTCTATGCGCTTCAATGTCAAGGCCCTCGACGACATGGCTCTTTCAGAGGAGGCTTCCTTCTGGATGACCTTCAAACAAACCGCGCCAGTTCGAATCTCCGATGTTGGAAATGCCGCCTATGTCTGGAGCCTGTCAATGCCTTTCAGCAAGGACAAGCAGTCCTCCTCTGACGACAAATCCGCCTCTACATCACCCCCAATCTGGGAGTACCCGGACCACGATTTCCAGGACCCGGAGGAGGAACTTCAGGTTGAGCTTATGGAATTGAATGCTTTGCACAAGCAGATTCTTCAGCTTGAGGAACTGGTGAAAGAGAGGGAGGCATCCGTTGCTAAGAAGCTGGGCAAGCAATATCCTCCTCCACCCCCCTCGACTATGAAGAAGATCAAGCAGTGTGATGGTGTGCAGTGTGTTCTGCACACTGTTGGTGAGAAGGTGCGACACTCGGCTCACAGATTCTACGATAGCATATTTGGACATCACCCACCTCACCATGGCCCGCATGGTCCTCACCATGGCCCTCATCATGGAAACGGTACTCACCGGGGCCCTCATCCTCCTCATCATGGAACTCCTCACCCCCCGCCGCCCCCTCATCATGGTCGTCCTCCCTTCCCCTTCCCTGGAGGTCACCCTCCCCCTCCTATGTGCGCTCCTTGCCCCTGCGATCCTCACCACGGAAACCCTCCTCCTCCACCCCCTCCTCACCACCGGGGCAAGCCTCATCATGAGAGACCTGAGCATGGCCACGGTGGTTTCCGTGCCGAGGATCATGAAGGCCATCCTCCTCCACCTGTAAGTCTAAAACCTCAATCAGAAATCGAATTCGTTCCGCTAACTGCTCTTCAGCCTCCTCACCATCCCATCATTGTCATCCTTGGAATTGTGACCATTGCTCTCGCTCTTTTCTGTGCTATTGCCATCGCCTACATTCACCGCCGTGTAGCGCGTCTCAGCCCAGAGGCTCGTCGTGCTATCCGCCGGGCATTCCGCCAAACTCGCGACGAGCGTCGTAAGAACTCTGCTCTTAAGGCTGCTTACCGTGCCTTTGTTACCCGATGGATCGAGAACGAAGATGATGAGAAGGAGGCTATGCTTAACGGTGAGCGACGCCGACGATCATCTTCCTGCAGCAGCGTTACCATGGAAGAGGAGATTGCTTCCTTCCGTGAGGCTGCTCAAATGGTTGAGGGCATCGTCGCTGCTGAGGAGGGCCAGCACAGCCATGCTCGTTCCTATAGCTACGCTGCCGGTCCCCCTGTTCCTCCCCATCCCTCGCACCACACTGCTGCCACAGCATACCCCGGCTTCATGGAGACTGATGACAACCTTCCTGCTTATGACGACGATGAGCGCGACTCGTCGGTTGTAGCAGATGGATGCCGATACACTCCCGGCTGCTCCGACTATACCCCTTCAAACTCCGGGTCCAATGCCAGCGATGTCCTGGGGGATACCAAGAACTAAACCAAACTCAATGACCTCGGGCATGAATGATTTCCTTTGCATACTACTATGATACACCAGATTTCCTTGATTTAAATTTATGCGCATCAGATGTGGGATATTGGGAATTGTATTTACAAACAGCAAACGCTCTCGCTCAATAGAAGCTATAGCAATCTAATACCACAACTTGAAACATACACCTCTATAATACGCTCTTGTGCTTGATTTATTTTCCTTGTGCTTATCCACGCATGCTCTTGTCTATCACCCGAATATGAACTCTTCGTAATTCTTGGCAATTTTCTTGACGCCTTCATCAAGGTTCCAGCCCTTGACCTCACAAACATGCCGATACATGTCTTCCAATGCACTGTCCATTTGTTCGCCGGCAATATGAAGATCACTCTCCACCAGAATGCTGTCGTCAGGCAGCGCCCGTAGTACATCGTCCGTCTTGTTCAGGCTAGCACCAGTGCTTAAGTTGACAGCTGTTGACAACGAGACAAATATACGAGCTGGGATCGTTCGGTTCAGATACTGCCTTAATACTTCGACACTAGCGCTGAATGAATGTAGGCATATTCGAGGGGGATACGGCTTCTCACTGCCATCATCGTCCTCGTCTGAGAAGTCCTCAGCACCCGATGCCACAAGACGCCGCTTGCGTCGTGTTATAACCTCCCGCTCATGTCCCTTCCACGTTGCCGCAAGCGTCTCATACAGGATACCGTGAGCTTGCACGCCATGCACACTGACACCTCTGCCAGTTTTTGCAGCAAGACGAAGCTGTGCGGCAAGAACATCACGCTGGTGCTCTATTTTCACCCTATAAGGGCTGAGCTGGCGGCCTTCACGCCCCCCTGGTGTGAGTGTTGAATCTCTCTCGATATGTTCCGATGGCAGCCAAGGTTCTGGTAGACGAAAGGCCTTGTCAAGGCCGATCTCGCCAACAAGAGCGTGAGGCTTAGTGGATAGACGGGATTCGGTTGCATTGAGAAATGAGCTTATAGGGACAGGGGAAGGAAGAGAAGCAACAAAGTCTGGCGAGGGCGCTGGTTGTAGAACGGCATTATAATGTGCTTGTTTGGCGGCGTTGTCAGTCTCGGACCCAGAGGTGGGCTGAAATGTCGGAGTGTCGGCTGAGTCGTCATAGAGTAGATGGGAAAACCATGGATGCCAGCCAAAGGAGGGAATAGCACAGGTACCTGTTGCTTCTGAATTTTCTTGCAAAAGTGATTTGAGATCAGGGTTGGAATGGTTGCTAGCCACATCCGCAACGAGGTTCTGGTCCTGGGCACGTGTTGCCATGATGGTCAAAGCTGCTGCACGCATAGAGGGTATATCGGTTATTGAAGCCATTGTATCTGTTGGATGGCAGTGGGCGTCGCATATTGGTAGATGCCAGGGGAATGGAGGTTGATCCCCTGCAAGCTCTGGCTTGGACTGCTGAGGCTCATCATGGTTATGGGTGTGGGTGTGTTGACACATGTTGGTGTTGATATCTGGTAACTAATGGTGGTGTCAAAGTGGTGCCGAGATACTGGGGTTTAATTAGCACTGCAGATGGAAGTTGGCATCCACAGAAGCACGCAAGATTATTACTCTCAACGGCCAAGGTCTCGAAGGCTTGAGGCTATGAGAAACAAATTTGAGTGATGTCAGCGGGGGAGGCTGATGTGGACCATGATGGGGACAGGCATTCTCGAGGCTCCAAGTGGGGTTAACTTATGATGAGATCGGTCGATACAGTATCCGTACGAACATATCTAACGAGCATTTAGTTAATCTGGGGTAATTTAGTTTTCATCTAGTGAATACAGGAGGCTGAGCTTCTCGTTCGTGAATAGATTTCGTCTGCCTCGGCTTGTAATCACTCATGTGACGTGTGCGGTTGATGTTGGTTACCGATGGGCTTCAGTGGCTGTAAGTTGCTGCCCGGACAGTTTTTAGTACAACCACCGATTCCAGGGTCCTTTTGTGTTGCGGTCGATCCTCACCGGGCACAGATACTCGGAAGTTTAATGCAGTCAATCGCATCAGCATGATGATAGGGATTTGATACTGGAAGTGCTTTGAAAGACTCGTCATGATGTGTAATCCTGCCTTATCGTTGCATTCCACCACTGACGTTGCTTTATCTGTACAGTTTGGTAGGTATCATTGACCCTCCTTCTGCCAACATGAAGCTTCCTCCTACCGTTTACTATCACTTGCATCTCTTCCTGGTGCAGGTTCTCCGCACGATCCTTCCCCGTGGCTTGTCGCGTTGCCGTACGACGGCAAGGACAGTCACCGCAGACACCATTAAAATGGGCAAGTGCGGCATGCAAACCGACCTAAGCCAAGCCAGGCCAAGCCAAGCCACCATTCACATGTGATTGCCTCCTCCAAGTGTAATCCTCCTCACCTTAGCCCTCCGTTGCTTTCCTTTACCTTAGGTAGCCTTCTCCTCTTTTCTTCCCATCTCCCGAGATGCATATAATTACGGCTTCTACTTTGCTTCAGCTACAGCTCGATGCAACCCCGTAGAGTCACATTCACCGTACACCGACGCTACATTGTCGCCGGCTCAAGCACCTAATCCCACCGCGGCGCATCTTTTCGAGCTCCCCGGAAACAATCTATCCTATCACGGCTTTGGGGGATGTCGACGCATATCTCGTCCTAGAGCGGCATCCATCCATTCTATGTACATATCGGTACTCTACACCAACTACTATAGTCGCCATCCTCTTGGCTCTCTTTCTTCTTCCTCTTCTTTCTTATCCTTTCATTTCCCTATCTTCTTTCTCCTTATAGCCTGTGCCTCCATCTGTAACCACTAATTACATCGTCGACAACCTCCACGCCTCTATACAGACAGCACTCTTCGAAGCTGTTGTGGTCATGTGCCGCTAGACTTGTTCTGTAACACCATCAATATGGCACTCCTCAACCCTGTATACGCATTCGTCGTGCCCTTCCTGTTTGTTGTCACGGTTCCTCTTGCTGTCTTCGCCGGTATCACAACTACTATCGCTTTCTCTGTTCTCATCCTCCGAGTTCTGGCTGTGTATCTCGACGTTGCTCTCTCTTTCGTTCCTCATTATTTAGGTGGACGTAAGACTCGCCCTTACCATCCAAATACTTATCATCCTCACCACCAAATCCTCGAACCGGCAGCTGCAGCGCTCTATACCAATCCTGTACCTGCTTCTGCTGGTTCAACAGCATTTGAGTCCTCTTTGAGACGTCGTCGTCATAGAAGAAGCTCCAGTGCTCTATCCACAACAGGCACTACCACTCCGATCAGCGAAAAGGGACTCGGCTTACTGCCAAGCATTGGTCCAGAGCGAGACTTTGAAGGTGTTGGTGGCTGGCGTCTAGGCGGAGACGATGAGACATGGACTACCATAAACTCACGACTGGAACTTCCTGACAAGCAACACCATGGGCGAAATCATCATCGTTCCCCATCCGGTGGCCCGACGACACCTGGAGAAGGCGGATATCTTATGATGAAGGGTCGCAACCGAAGCCCCGGAGCAAAACGCTTAGCATCTCCTAATAGCTCTCGTACAAGAACACCTTCTGGCCCTCGGATCGCTTTTACAAACATGTCATTCATTGACAGTTACTTTCCAAGTCTCAAAACTTCTCCAAAAGGACTGAAAAAACTCCCGACTCAGGGTGTCGTTGATGCGTAAGACCGATTCAGGCTCTTTGCGCTATCATGTAAACTATTCTAATGATCTAACGAAAGGGTTTGGTTAAGGTGGAAAATGACACGAGGACCAAAAGTGTCACAGTTAAATGGTAATATGGGGGTTTCCATTGGCGTTTGAGCGAGAATCTGTTAATTATCTGGATTTATGATGATGCAAAATTAAGATATCAATGACTTTCGAAAGAAAACGACAAGGGTGAATCCCAATCTGCCATTACTCGTATACTGAAATGATATAATGGTAGCAATGTCCTATTCCTGGTATCTGCAACGCCTCCAACGCCAACCCAGCGTAAATACATTATCGTGACAACATTGGCCAACCAAAAAGAAGCGATTGTCTTCTTAGAGAGTCTGCCAGAAGTAGTTTGCGTAAAAGAATCGCGAGAACTTCTTGTCCATGTTGACAACATGCACGTCCCCTTTACGATCATTCCGAATAACAGCCTTGGACCACTCACCGTCCCTCTCGTCCCTCTCAATGTCGATACCCAGGCTTCGATACACCTTGAGCCTCAGTAGCACCTCATCATCCACTGGATCTCTGCGTCGAGCATTAGCTGCCGCATCGCCCTCCACACCCTGAAGCTCCAGCTCGCGAAGACGAGCCTTGAGGTCAGCGGCCGTCAGAGCAAGGCGCTCAGCATCGGTTTCAGCATCAGCGGCAGCTTTGGCGGTACGAAATTTCAGGGTGTCTAGACGTGCGATATTGGACGCGTGATCGGCTGATGAGTGGGACGCAACGAGGTCGTCATGTCGCGATGTGTGTGTTGCGAGCTGACGAGAGAGCTTCTTCAGTGAGGATTCTGCCTCACGAACGTGAAGGTCGCGAGCTTGCTGGAGTGTTGAGAGTGACTCTGTAACACGGGAGACGGCAAGTTTGTCTGGTGCGATATTGAAGTTTTCAACAGTATGATGAATGAGCTGGATTTATTAGCTTAGATAAAAGGGGCTACAAGAGTAGGTACTTACAGTTGCGGGTTCTTCGGAGAGCAACATATTTGCGGCTTAACTCGAGTTCTCGACTCAATTGTGAAAGATTTTGTGTCAAAAACAGCTGTAAAATGCAGCTCCTCTACAGTCTTAAACGGTGATGATGGTGAATTTGGTGTTTTGCCAACCCAACTCCCTTTTGGACTAAACACGTTTCCGTCGTCACGACGACAATCAAAGCCTACCTTATCTTATCGCAGCCACATTTCCCCCACCTTATCTAGCCGAGCTTTCCCCGCCAACCGCACATCGTCATCGGGCCCGCCACAGCCAGGCAAAGATGAAGCCGAGAAGAGCTACCTCTGAATAACACGTGCAAACCTCCATTACGTTACGTTTGCCATTCCACCTCGAAAGCCTCTTTATCCTGACCAAGAAAATTGATACCAAGACTCCTATTCCTCCTATACAGAATACACCTTCAAGTTATTTGACCTCGAGGACTTGTTTTCTCAGAATGGTAACCGAACTACCATGTGAGTTTTAAACTGCATGACGATATTCTAACTTATACTGACAGCCTCGCTAGATGCTCTCGATGCCGAGACGTTAGTCCTACGCTTTCAATATATGAAGATTTCTATATCCTGACTGACGGCGACAGACCGCTAAATGCCTCTGAGCTTAATGTACTAAAAGCGCAATATGAGCGCGAGGGTGAGATGGTTGGCATCCAGACCAAGTTCAACTACGCCTGGGTAACCATCCTACGTCTTGACCTACGAGCCATCATACTAACTGAATCTCAGGGCCTCGTCAAGTCCAACCAGCGAAACGACCAGCAGCTCGGTGTGCGTCTTCTCTCGGATATCTTCCGCATCTCTCCCGAACGTCGCCGCGAATGTCTCTACTACCTTGCCCTTGGCAACTACAAGCTCGGCAACTACGGCGAAGCGCGTCGGTACAACGACCTCCTTCTTGATAAGGAGCCTGCCAACCTTCAAGCATCCAACCTACGCCAACTGATTGATGACAAGGTTGCCCGCGAGGGGCTGATGGGTGTCGCTATTCTGAGTGGTGTTGGTGTAGCGGCGGGTGTGGTGGGAGCATTTATTCTGAGGAATGCTAGGAAGAGGTAGATGATGATATTGCTAAGGAGGAAAACGTGTAGAGACATATATTGCATGGGCGGTTTCTGGGACACTTTACTCACTCTTCACTATAACCTCTGGATCGGGCCCTCTTGGAGTCTTGACATCATGAGATATGCTTGCACTACAAAATGAAGCAACCACTATTACATACGTTAACCCATTTTATATAAGTTCATCAATAATCACCCTAATTCCATCACGATAGGTGCAGACAGGACATCGGCTGTTGGAAAGTCACATTCGACGGGGTAGTACAAATTTGCTAGATGTCTTACTATACGATGATTTCACATGTCAACGTCACAGACAAATGTGTTGGAACAAGAAAGCTAGACAAATAAAACAATGTTAAGGAAACCAAGAACAGGCCAGCTAAGAAACAAACCAAAGAGACGACGCATCACCATCTAGGGAATATCATCTGCCGAGACATAAATGACCATCCTTGTCTCAACAAATGTACGACTAAAATACAACAAGCTGCTACTCGACAACTTCCTTGGCATCGCCCATCTGATCCTGTCTAATATCATCCGTGACCAAGGCACCATTCAGCCGGAGGGAAAAGAGAGGGGTATCCGAAGGCAGAGTATGTGAGCAGAGCAACAAGGTACCTAATGTAGGCAAAGCACAAAGAGACAGCATGTCACCCTAAAAAAATATGGCGAACCAGATGCATAAAACATATTAGCATCTAAAACGTCTCTCCCAGCGAGAAGCGCTCAGATTGAAACGCCTTTCGCCAGTTTCCCTGCTGTTCTTCTCTCCAAAAGGTATTCTCATGTGACAGATTAGAGGTGAGACCAACGGGTTCTCAGGTTTGGTTTGACTCAAAGCATGGTCAGAGAAAAATGCTTGACTGCAACTTGAAGTCATACCGAGACTCCTGCAAAGCCATATAGTCTGCATCTCCCGTCTTGCATGACTATTCTTCATAAATGACTTTTGTTCCGTCTCCGTACGACAATCATTCCATGTGGCATATGTGATGTGATGTGATGTGATTAGGAGACAATGTTTTGTTTCTTAATTAAAAAAGGTGAGAGAAAGAGGCGACAAAGAAACGAGAATCGAATACAACGAGGGGCGTCGAGCTGGTATTGTATGGGCATCATGGGTACTCAGACATGGATAACGAAGGAGTGAAAGAATCCGCAAATCGTGAAGAGGCTGAAAGTTTAGCGAAGAGAGAAACCCTTTCGCTTGCCTTCCTTCTCTAGTGGCCGTCCGCTTTCGACGCGCTGCTTCTTGTCCTCGAGCTCCAGTCGTTGGCGGTCGAGTTGCTCCTTCATCTCCTTGTGGCGGGCGTACAGTTCCTCTTCGGACTGCTTGAGCTTGCTCTCCTTCTCTGCTACCTTCTGTTGGAAGACCATCTTCATCTCGGCCTCCATCTTGGCTAGCTTTTGCTCGTGTAGGGCACGCTCCTCCTCCTGCTTGACAGCAGGGTTGACCTCCTTGAAAACGCTGGGGTCTTGCGACACGCCCATGGCGAGCAGCTTGTCGGTACGGTAGTTCTCGTAGAGTTGGTTGTTGGTGTGCTCCTTGAGCTCCTCCATGTGTGTTCGGATGAGCATTTGTCGAAGCTTGACAAAATCGCAGTGCTCCTCGTTATCGACTTCAATGATGCCCCAAGGATAGGCACGACCGCGAATCTTGCGACCATCGGCGCTTGTGATCTCGTTGTTGGCACCAACAACAGCGAAGGGAACCTTGGACATGATCTCGTTGTTCTCAGCGATCGTCTCCTCATCATCAAGCTCGTAACGAGGACCCTCGAAGATCTGGATGCCATGGTGCTTGATATCGGCGAGAATCTTGTTGGTTAGCAATTGAACAAACGTTGGTAAGCGAGAAACTTACTCGGGACTTGAAGGCAGCAATCTCCTCGTCGGTAAGGGTATCAGCCTTGGCGATGACGGGGATCAGATTGACCTTGGTATGGAGTCGGCGCATGACCTCAATGTCAAGAGGCTTCAGGGAGTGGCCAGTGGGTTGAATAAAAAAGACACAGGCGTGAATACGGTTGTCAACAATGTTCATGCGGTTAACCTTGTTCTCAGCATCCAAGTAAGAGTCGAATCGCTGCTCGATGTTGTCGACGATAGGGCGCCAGGACTCGTCGTTGTTGACGAAATCGCCGAAACCTGGTGTATCGACAACGGTCAGGCGGAGACGAACACCTGCCTCCTCAATGTCGGCACTAATGGACTGGATAGTAACAGTCTTGGGAATAATGTCGAGGCTGGGTCCCTTGCGCTCCTTGGGGGGGTACAGGGAGGTGTTGAATAGAGTGTTGACCAGAGTAGACTTGCCCAAGCCGGACTCACCTAAATCAGTGTTAGTCAAGATCGTTCACACTTCAAACATCTATGTACATACCAACAACCATCACGTTGAAGTTGAATCCCTTACGAACACTCTTTCGGTGCCATTGGTTGGGTAGGTTGGCAAAACCAACATAGCCAGTAAGCTTTCTTCGGACAATGTTTCTGTTGTCAGCGGGGGGAGGTGGCTGAGATGGAACTACTTGGCAGTCAGTACCGGAACAGAAATTCACGTAAATGATAAACCTACCATTGGCAGGCGAGGCAGAAGGAGCCAACGCCGGAGATTCGCTGCCGGGAGAAGCTATAAAGACACAGGTTAGCATCCAATGCAACCACTGATATTGAATATTATGCTGTCAGAGGTAGAGACATGAGGAGCCTGACTCGGTGAATAATCCGAACTCGTGTTGCGAGGATTTCCCCTGGTAGAAGCCTCGACTGTGAGATGGTCGCGATTGGGCTTCACATAAGCTGTCTGTTCATCTCCAGCTGGCCCACTTGTTGCAGAATAGACATATAGTTCGTCGAATGACACTGGCTTCATAGGGCTTAATGTCGGCGGATCCTGGATGTCCACGTCAAGCATACTGCGATAGTGGCGTACTGTTGAGGGACGAGGGGAGGAAGGAGAAGATGAGCTGTTATCGTCTTGGCTCAGTGGAAAACTAATAGTTCGTTTGGAATCCCGCGATGCCTTTGGCGATGATCCGGCGAGAGGTGTGGTTGCCATGAACATGAGATTTCTATCAAAATGCACGCTGCGAGTGCGAGCCTTGACGTGCTGTACCAAGTCGAATGTCATGATCGAATTTCAGGGGTTGGAAGTGCTGATTCTCAACGAGGAATGCTGTCAGGACCAAAAAGGGGGCTAAGAAGATAGACCCAAGAAATTGTAGATGATTCAGAAACGAATGTCGTCGAGCTTATCGGAAATCGATGGGTTGCACGGGATGAAGGTCAAGATTTTGTTGAGCTCCCGGAGAACAAATCATCCTCGTGGTCGAGTTCGCAGGCTCTTTCCGTGGTCTCTACCTGACCCTTGTGCCATGTGGTCTGACACGCGCGTGCATAAAAAGAAAGAATCATCTTACCCATATTGAATTATCAAGAACGGTCGAGTCGAAAAGGCTCGTAGGAAAGTGCGTGTTTCTAAGTTGAAAGTTGATGGTTAGCTACGTCAGGGGAAAGGCCAGCTAGCTACACGAGCTCGGTGGAGTTGTCTCGAGGGAGACAACAAGAAGGGCCAAACGACAGCTGACAATCTCCAGGAAACAGGCACAATGTGACGATGAGTGTACAGTCGAAGAGATATCGAGCCGATCGAGGGCGCTCCTTCTCGAAATCGTGGTCGGGCAGTAAGGAGTGGGACGAGGACAGCTAGGTACTCACGGAAATACCAAGAGACGCGTGTCAATGAGCGTCGCAACGAGTGAATACGAAGAATAGAAGGCGGCCTCGGGTTTATCAACACGGGACCTACTCTCACGCACGATAAATGGCGATCGAGAGAAGAGTAGCAATGATGAGGCTAGAAACGGGGGGTAGGGAAAAAAAGAGAGAAAGTAAAGTGAAGGAGAAGGACGGGAAATTTTGGAGGTGACAAGCGGACTAAACAAGGAGACGAAATTCTGATGTGCTGTGCTGTTCTCCCAGCAGAGCAGCCTTTGGGCAGACAGCCGTGCTGCAGCAAAAGGGGTTTAGACGAGCTAGTCCAAGTTGAGGCCCGTGTGGGTCTCCCAACTTATGTACATGATCCAGGGGCAGGTTCTGGAGATTTAGCGGACAGGGTCGCTGAGAGCCTACTGTCGAACCTCAAAGGGTGCTGCCTCAGAGCTTATGATTGGTTCAACAGACACGGGTCCAATTAACGGCGCGGGACAGGGTTCGTTGAATGGTAAGACGGGAGATTGGGGAGGGAGAGCTCTAGCTTCACCTCAAGCAAATTACTGCATCTTGGCTATCGGCATAGGTACCTGTATCATGCCGTAAGCGGCCCTGCAGCCATGCAATTGACTCTCGATACAGCCTCTACACAGTACTAAGTTGGAGCCTCTATCTGAAGCTTGACATCATTTGATTTACCGGTGAGGGCCTACAAATGTCTGCAAGTGGCCGGTCCCCGGACCTCCTTACATCGGTCCATTCCCTACCTAGGCAAGCTTGGAGCTCACCTGAGGTAAGGTTGTTTCTAAAAGGGGAATGCTACCCTAAGTACCTGTTCCTGGCTCGCTTGTGCTTCAAGTATCGATAACCATTCTCATGCTACAAGTTGCCTTAGGTATTGATAGGGGTTCTTCTCTCCTATTTGAAAGAATTGTTCGATAGTCAGAGTCGATTGCTTCTTTGATCTACAGTGTTTTTTTCTATTTGGTTATCATTGGCCCCTTTCTAGCGGCATAGCTTAGATCATTCACAATTGGACTGTATCGGAGACAGGTTTCAAGACATACGTAGATCAACCGTTTCTGGAAGAGGTCAGGGTATCTTCTCCCTTCTCTCGTGGCCAGAATATTGGCCTGATATTGGATCACGGGATAACTATGCTCTGAACCATTTATTTACTCCTCGTCCTACCCGTACCGTGGTCATTTTAACATTGCCCACTCGCCGTCAAGTTCGGTTGCGCCTCAACCGCTCCCATGTCTGTGTTCCTCGTTTATTGGTTTCCTTTCCTCCTCGTCAAAACATTAAACATCCGGTCCATTCAACCTGTTCTCTCTGTGGGTCCGGGATCAATTACCGCCGTCCAATGTGTTCTAGCTTCTCTTCAGTGACTATATTCGGTGTGCTACAGCAAGCCAACTTTTTTCGTTCACGGAAGGACATGACAATGAATTCTACAAGACTGGCATGTGCATATACGTGAAGCCAATACCTAGGCTTCTGCATGCCGATATGCCAATCCTATAACTGTAAGACTGCATAAAGCTTGAAAGAGTTCACTGCATCTTCCCGTGAAGCAATTATAATGTCTAGTGTGTGTATCTATCTCGTGAAAATCATTGAGAATCCTACACGCTACCACCTCCATGCCTTCTCCTGCATGTGCGACACGAGCGTATATGCTGGTGCAGTTCAGGTTTTGTATAAAGGGATGTGAAAAGGAGGTACTCCGTATGCAACGTGTAATTGCATTCCAGGCAAATGTCCCTGGTCCAATCGAGAGGTCATGTGAAGTAGTGTCGACCTGCGAAGCTTTTCGTGTTAAACCAAGAAGATTTCGTACAAGTACTCTAAAGCAGTGCATGGAAGCTCTGGTAGTATAGTTCAACTTAAAGAATATGTCGCTACATTTTTTATTTCCCAAGTCTATTCCAACCGGTTCTAAACCCAGATAATTGTATTCACAACGTCCAAGTGCACATTCTTATTCAAGTCATAGCTCAATCTTTCTTCAACTCAGAGACTTTAGGTGTATCTCATGTGGCCACAAAGCAGGCAATGAATTACCTAGGATACTTAAATTACTTGCTTAATAGGGACTAAATAACACCAGGTGCAACAACAATACAAGGCTTTAGGTTTGCTCCCGATCAACAGACATATCAGTGTAGGGTAGGAGAGCTGGCTTGAAGTTCAACTCAACAAAAGTTGGTTACATCCGATGTTAGGATTCGAGGATCTAACACGTATGATAACTTAGTACTACAAAGGATAAGCAGAAAAAGACTAGACATGAACAGTTACGTTTACGAGTAGAATATTGTATCTATACACCCCAACTGTCTTCTATATGTCAAATAAGCACCGAAACCCTTCGATGCTTGTTTTAATTAAGATACACGCCACATTTGCGCTTCTAGTAAAGGTATATAGTACACTGGTGCGAAGAGCTGCCCAGATTCTGACGGCTCAAATTTATAGCATGATCGGATCGTCTCAGTCATCTTAAGCGAGGCCAGCCTGCTGGCTCGCAAAGAATCGTTTCGACTCAGCACATCTCTCGCTCTTACACCCCGGGCATCGAAGACCCATCTGCTTCGAGCAAGCCTGACCTGCTGCCAGGTGCGCCTTGGCAATGTCGGCGAGGGCTCGGATGAAGACAGGACTTCCGTTGAGAGACTCAACCCGCTTGACAGTTTCGGGGTGACCACTGTCGCCGATGACTTCCTGATCCAACTCATACAGAGTTTCAATATGGTCCGATGTGAAAGCGATGGGGATGAGCACCAGATCCTTCTGACCCTTAGATATGTAGTGCTCTACACTGTCCGAGGTTTGAGGTCCTAACCAGGCCGAAGGGCCGACCTGAGACTGCCAGCACAGTCGGTAAGGGTTGGAGAAACCGAGGCGCTGCATAACAGCGTAGACAGTGGCCGCAACTTCAGCAGGGTAAGGATCACCTTGATCATGTTAGTATCTGTTACGAATGTGCATGACTGAGCAACAAACCTCGGTTAACGACAGACATGGGCAGACTATGCGCAGAGAAGAGCAGCACAACATCCTTTCTTCGCTCCTCAGGGTATTCCGCAAGCTTGGCCTCGATGTTTTGGGCAAAAGCCTCGACCAATCCACTGTGGTTAGGCCAACGGTCGATTACACTCCAGGTAATGGTACCATCACCAGACTCCTTGTTGGTCTTGCCTTCAAGCCGGTGCCTCCACTTCCATAGCTCGTTCAAGCTACTACCTGTTGTTGAGCAAGAGTACTGAGGATATTGTGTGAATGCGACGGCGCGGCCACCTTTTCCATTTCCAAAGCCGTCCTTCAACAGCTGCTCGTACATTTCTTCGGTTAATGGGTCCGCGTATCGGAAAGCAACGTAGGGCTTGTGAGGCGCAGTCTCAGGAGAGATTTTGTCCAAGATCTTACACATCTCGGCATTTTGGTATTCAGACCACTTTCGAATTGGTGATCCTCCACCGATGGCAGAGTATTGCTTGATGATTTTGGGTGTTCGTCGCTTCGAAATTAATGGACCGAGATAGTTTTGTAGAGGGCCGAGAGGAATTAGATCGCCGTCGGCCTGTGGTGGTTGTCAATATACATGATCCGGGGGTCTCGGTGCTTTGCTCATGACTTACGAAAAGGCGGCTCAAAAAGTCGCCAACCTCATCGGTAGTCGAAGGTCCTCCCATGTTGAGGAAGACCATAGCCGTAGGGCCCTTTGATCCAGTAGCATCTTGAGTGACAGGATGGACGGGAGTGGCCAGAAATCGCTTCTGAGTAGCGATTTGGGGTAGCGCAAGTCGATGCGAACTGGCCTGTGAAATGCTCTTGCAGAGCTGGCCTCCAGATCTTCGCAGAGCCATTGTCGATGAACTGTCACTGACTTCAAGAGACAAGGCGTGGGACGGGCAATAAAATAAACTTTATTGATCAATTGGAAGTGGTGCGAGGTTTGGAATCATAAAACAGCTGAGGGGTGTAAAGAAATCTTATGTTACGTACATGCAACTAGTGCCGACGGCGATGATGCACGCATCTCCATGGGCTCCGGGATCGCCTACAACGCATCATATCGGGATTTTGCACAGGCTTGGCTGCTAGGAGCGACTTGCTTGACCCGCAGAGCTTCCGTGGTGCAAGAGGTACTACTGAACATGACATTACCAACCAATCACGCAATTGGTAATCGCTCTGAACACTGCACGTGAGCTCGCGACAGGCAGCGCGTCGGACCTTGTCATTAGCTCGCGTTTGCCTAAAGCTATGACCCGCTAGCATGAGCTCTCTCATCAGCTCTTATAAAGTCAAGCTGACCCTGGGATGAGATTGATCGGTTTTCACTAATAGCAACAGACATCAATCGAATCAATATGGCTGATAAACAGCCTTGGCGAAAAGAAGAAGAAGATGAGGAGGAGCAAGAACTCGATGAGAACGTGAGTTGATCGAACATTGGTACTCACCCCAACTCCATATTGATCCACCTATAGAACTATAAGGCACAGAAAGATGCCATCTTGCTTGCGATCGATATTAGCAAATCTATGTTAGAACAACCGCCGCCATCAGACTCGAAAAAGGCGGATCGCGACAGCCCTGTCCAGGCGGCCTTAAAATGCGCCTATCATCTCATGGAGCAACGCATCATTTCTAATCCCAAGGACATGATGGGTATTCTTCTCTTTGGAACCAAGAAATCAAAATTCCAGGACTCTGTAGATGGTCGAAGTGGTCTAGGTTACCCTCATTGTTATCTATTCACTGACCTCGACGTGCCTGCGGCAGAGGATATCCAGGCCCTCAAAACCCTTGTCGAAGACGGCGAGGATGAAGATGAGGTACTGACACCTTCGGATGAGCCTGTCAGCATGTCGAATGTGCTATTCTGCGCGAACCAGATATTCACAACAAAGGCTGCGAACTTTGGCAGTCGTCGTTTGTTTATAGTAACTGACAACGACAATCCTCACGCATCTGATAAACTCGCCAAGTCCGCTGCAGCGGTACGAGCTAAGGATCTGTACGACCTTGGGATCCTGATAGATCTATTCCCTATCACTCGTGGAGATGAGAAATTCGAACTCAACAAGTTTTATGATGTAAGAATAGCTTTGAAGATACCGAGAAACCAGCTAACACTCAAAGGATGTTATCTATCGTGACCCTGTTGGAGAGGCGAACTTGACAGAAGTCCGAACATCGAAATCTGGAGACGGATTGACATTACTCAACTCGCTCATCTCAAATGTAAATTCCAAACAAACTGCAAAGAGAGCCCTATTCTCAAATTTGCCATTCGAGATTGCTCCTGGGCTACGCATCTCAGTGAAGGGATATAACATTGTTCATCGTCAAACACCAGCACGCACTTGCTACATTTGGCTGGACGGTGAAAAGCCGCAAATTGCTACAGGTGAAACTACGCGAATTGCGGAGGATAGCGCCCGGACCGTTGAAAAAGCAGAGATAAAGAAGGCGTACAAATTTGGCGGCGAATACGTCTACTTCTCCCCAGACGAACAGAAGTCATTGAAGGATTTCGGATCGCCCATCATTCGTATCATCGGCTTCAAACCGCGCAGTTTGCTCCCCGTATGGGCAAGCACCAAGAAGTCGACATTCATCTTCCCCAGCGAAGAGGATTATGTTGGTTCGACCAGAGTTTTCACAGCACTCTGGCAGAAACTTCTCAAGGATGACAGAATGGGTGTCGCTTGGTGTATCACTCGTGCGAATGCGCAGCCAATATTGGCCGCCATCATACCGTCTAGAGAGCGGTCCGATGATGGCTCGGGAACACCATATCTGCCTGCTGGACTTTGGATCTATCCTCTACCATTCCAGGATGACCTGAGAAACATCAACCCACCAAGTGAAGTGCTGCGAAGTTCCGGAGAACTCACGACGCAGATGCGGACTATCATCCAGCAACTCCAGCTGCCAAAGGCTATGTACGATCCATTAAAATACCCCAATCCCGCGCTGCAGTGGCACTACAGAATCCTTCAGGCTCTTGCTTTGGAGGAGGAGGTTCCCGAGAAGGCAGACGATGCAACGAAGCCAAAATACAAAGCCATTAGCAAACGAGCAGGCGGCTACTTGGAAGAATGGTCTGAGACTCTAGAAGAAGAGGCTGGGAAAGTTGCGAACAAGAAATCGACAAAGCGTGAGACGGACGATGAAGACATGGAAAGACCGGTGAAGAAGTCCAGAGGTTCATCAGAGAAGGCAACTGGTTCTTCCTTCAGTATGGCGCAATTGAAGGCCGCAATCGAAGGTGGGACTATTCAGAAAATGACTGTCGTCCAGCTCAAAGATATTCTAGCTACTAAGGGTTTGAGTACTGCCGGACGAAAGGTTGAACTGATCGAGAGAATCGAGGAATGGATAGAGGAAAGTTCATGAGAATGAGGTCGAAGAGCACAATAGAGTGCATTATAGGTGCTTTATATGAAGAATGGGTGGCCGGCGGAATGGGCGTTTATGCTACTATACTTTGTAGGGGCATTGTATATCAGGCTGCGAGCACTTGATCATATTGAACCAAAACACAGAGGAGAATGACCCCGCTCTTTTGTTTCTTGTTGTGACTCTGATTACATGCGTTTTTCTACATGGAAGCCTTTGAAGCCTTCGAAGCTTTCGCAATCACTTCCTTTTCATCACATTCACCAGAGCTTCTTTTACTGGGCAGCAACACCACAAGTTGAACACCCTAACAAAGGAGTCATAAAAACTGCCAGAGTTCATTTCTATGCGATTTGATCTGAGTACCTCTTTGAAATATTTCAATATGAAACATGGCGGCTGCAGGCAGGAGGATAGATTCATCCTCTATGCTCACACCCCCTTCGGCACCCGTTAGTGGCTCTCAGTGGCGAGGCGCTCAAATCACGCCCACTAAACGTCAGCTAAACACCCCCCGGCCCCTTACCTCATCTATCAAATCCGTAGCTCCACCATCACCCACTTGCGCGTTCGTGAGCCCGCAAACGCCAGAACAGCGTCGTCCGAATATCCCATCGGCAACACTTGTCATCTCATCACCGCATAAGGAACCGGGCGCTGACGAGTATAATTCGAGGCTATTGCGTTTGGCGCGACGCCGGCCAACTTACGAACAACGAAAGACCATGGCCGATTTCCTCGCAAGCCTTGGTCTTGGCGCCGCGCAGACGCCCACCGCGTCAAGTAACTCGCAATGCGATTCGGTTGAGGAGCTCCAGCTCAAGCTACGAAGCATTCTAGATGCCAAGGCGACACCGATACGGGCCGAACATGTGGCTCTGACAATCGAATTGAGAGCCACGGTACGCTTCCAGTTGACTGTGTCCGAATCAGAGAACGGGACTCTCGAGAGCCTAAATAACATCGATCCGTCACTAGGAGGAGCGCAATCTGTAGGAACGAATGGCAATCGGGATGAAGGGCAGCTATCGCGCGTGGTATTCGCTAATGACACGCTCATGAACCAACCCCAAGACGACCCAACGCTCCAACGATCCGTCGCAAAACATATCATTTCAATAATCAGCTTAACCGATGGGAGTACTTGGACCGTTCGAGAGGTGTCGCGCGGTACACAGGGCTGGACTTTTACGTATTTGTGCAAGGACTCGTATCAGCAATGGACTCGACAAAATGCAAAGAGCCAAACGAAAACAATAGTAGGAGAGTTCAGTCAGAGAGAGCCTGACCCAGTTCTGCATGGTAAGTTCAGAGCGCCATACAAAATTGCTTCCCAGACTGACAAGAAGATAGGTCGGCCTGCTTTTGACTGTCGAGGATCTATCACGATTGCCTTTAACCGTGGCAGTCGCTCCATCACCGTGAAATACGACCATACCCCTTTGCACAAAACAGTTGCAGAGCTGGCCGCCCACTTCAAGCCTGCTCCACGTCAACTGGGACCAGGCGCGCAGAGACTTCTAGAACAGCAGCAAAAGGCAAAGGAGAAGACGCCGAGGAAACCTAGAGGCGAGAAGAAAGACAAGAAGGAGCGAAAGAAGCGGGATTCTACAGTAAAGGCGCAAGATGAGAATGGTAATCCCCGGAAACGAAAGAAGAAAAGTAACGGAGCATCTCAACCAGCGGACTCAGCAGACGGGCCGATGATCCCTCCAGACTATCCTGGGGCGCCAGCAATCGATGGGCAAAATCAAGGGGATCCATTTTATATGAACGGCGGAGAAGCGTCTGGCAATGCTGGGCAGCAAGGATTCAACGATTATCCTCAAGGGTTGATGGGGGACGCAACGACGAATGGAACGTCGTCTCAGCAGGCAAACGGCCAGATGGCTTCAGCTGCTTTCCCAGTCAATGTCTCAGCAGCCGAAGCAGCACGTCGAAAAGAGGCAGCCACGACAATGCTCAGCAACGCTGGTGTCGATCCTACCACATTGTCTCCTGAACAGTTTGGTATCTTCGCCAACCAAGCACCAGAGTTGCAACGCGAGTCACTGAACATGCTTGTCAAATATGGTGCAGAACGCCTCCGCATTGTCCACCCCGGTAACAAGGAAGGCTCAACACAGGCAGGCTCTTCAACACAGAGCAGCCAGACTACTTCAACTGGACCTAGAACTACCAAAGAGCTAGTGCCGCAGTCAAGTGCTCAAAGCAACGCGAACACAGATACTGAGACAGCAGTAGCTCAGGCTGCTGACGACACTTCCACTCCTAAGCGTAAGAGGAAGAAGATGGCCAAGTCGAGAACAGCCTGTTTCCCATGTAAGGCACGGAAAACAAAGGTAAATACTCCTCAAATTAACCAAACGCTGCTGAACTAATGAAATTAGTGCCCGAGGGAGAGACCAACCTGCACCGAATGTGCGGATCATGGGACTGCATGTGAATACGCGCCACAGAAACCAAGAAACAGGGCAACAAAACCCAAGAAGTCTGAGGCAATCGTTGTTGATGACGGTGACGATGATGGTGACGAAGAGGATGAAGAGGTAGAGCAGCAGGAAGATGCCGAGGGAGAAGGTTCTGAACAGGAAGATGACGAACAACAAGACACTTCACAGGACTACTCATATCCTCAGATGAATATTGGAAACATGGTCACCAACACTGATGCAACAACTCAAGATACCCAGTCCACACAGGGCAGCTACTACCAGCCTGCTTCCGGGCTAGTTCTTCCTCAGCCAGACCCTTACTCGACCAGTTCGCAAGCAATGAGCACATCGGTATCGCAGAGAGGTAACTACTCTCATAACATACCAGAAGTGACACAACCCATGGTCCACCCGGCTCCTCCCATCCCAGCTCCTGCTGGTACGATCGCTCCCTCTGAAACAAGGCGATGGAACGCCTTTGGTAGCGGTAGTGTCAGTGGAAGTAGCACCACCAGCAAGACCCGAAGAAGTCTTCCGTCCGAGCCCAGCCAAGCCAATGCGCAAAACATACCTGCAAACCCACAGCCATCAGACTGGGCTCAAACTTCCACCACGACCACGCCTGCAACAACAATGGCATCCGTCTCCCCGCAGATGACATACGACACACACTCAAGTGGGAGGACTCGACAGAAGAACCAGGGCCTAACGAATGATACTCCTAAACAAGCTGCAGTGCCCAACACGGTCATGCAGCAGGCTCAGGCACGCCAATCGCCCGTCGCTGCGGCAGCCATGATGGCACAGACCCGTAAATCCCCTTATCAACAAGCCGCGGTTCCTCGCACGACCTCTAGAGCAAGCCAGCGAAACCCGTCTCGCACACCTGTAACTGACCAGGCACGAGGCTATCAGCCTCCTTCTGACATGGCTCAGCAGCAGAACACACGAAGCAGCAATCATTATGATACATCGCACATGTCCAGTGGTTCTGGCTATAATGACTATGGGCGTTACAGCAGCACTAGCACCAGCGGAAGCCATCAACCACCGACCACCATGAGCACAAGTTACCAGACTACTTCTTCCACTGCAAACCAGTGGTCTAATTCTTCGAGTCGAAACGATCGCTTATATGGCACTAACCCATCGTATCAAACACCTAATATTTACGCACAGACAACAGTGTCTAAGCCAACAGCAGCATCCCGCCAGAACTTTAACATGCGTTCAAGCACACAACAGCATACTCGTGCTAGCAGTGGCTCATATAACCAGCAGCAACCACAACAACAACAGCAGCAGCAGCAGCAGCAGCAGCAGGAGGGTTACGCATCATACTCTGGATCTACACACCAAAGCCAACAGGCTCAGACATCAAACCAGCAACAGCCGCCTAGCTGGTACTTCCAAAACTCGCACAATGCTTCTGTTCATCCTGGAGGCCAGTCATCTGGCTATAACTATGAGCCATGGTCAGGCGTCTAGGAGCCATGGTGCTCAACTGTACACATCTAACTATTCATCTATGGCTTATGAGCGGATGAGAAATTGCTATGGATGGGTTTAGCGAATCGGTTTATTTAGCGCAATGATCATGGCATAAGCAGGAATCAAGTTAGAGCCCTCATATCTAGAGATACCCGGCAATGTCAGACAATCGAAGATCATAGGTTGTCGCATTTCTTCTTCTTTCACCTGATGAATGTGATAGTATGTTTGAAGCATCACATAGCTTAAATTATTATTAGGTGCTACCCAGCTGATTATTAACCTTGAATCATATGTATTCCTCTCAAGTTCGGCTAAGTTCTATGGTATTTCCATCACATTAATTTCCATTCATTCGTCCAGCCATACAAAGTATTCCCGCAAGATATTCAGATAGGTTGTTGGTTTTTGGATGTATGCTGCTTATCTACTCAACATGGTCCGAAATAGCGAACTTGCTGAGGGATCGCAGCTTGCCACCGTAAAAGTATAGTAGCCAAATACCGACGATACCGATAACACTTAGACCACCGAGAAGACTAGTACCCTTAGCAACACCGAGGTTGTCGAACAAGGGCTGGGCAAAGAGAACACTGCCACAAGCTAGAGCGCTTCGGAAGAAGTCATTCGCTGCAAAGAGACTGGCAGCATACATTGGATAGCTGAGAGGAATGTACACAAAGATACACTGCATGACAATGAAGACTGTAGCTCCGTAGATGGTAATGCCAATAGTGGGCACGATCCAGTGGATAGAGGCTTGAGCCGTCCAGGCGAAAAGGAACAAGCCAATGGTAGGACCGAGGGCGGCTGGTAGAGCTGGAACGAGACGACTTTCTTGAATGGGCCAACCACGCTTAGCGATGCGAGGGTCCATGTAAAAGTAGAGGTAGGAGACATAGATGCCTACGCCAATCATACAAGAGACGAGAACGCAGAGGAAGACGAGACCGATTTGACCGAGGTTCATGTTGTAGTAGACTGGGTAGACCCGGGGGAAAACCTCAAAGACTGAGAAGAGTTAGTCACCAAGATGGCTATGATATCGTGGAGCGAACTTACATGAATAGTAGATACCATAGATAATGGCAGTGTAGACCTGCACGAACAGCACGGCAGGGTCCTTGAGGGTGATCTCCATAGGCTTGATGAGTGCATCGACAGCAATGGCAGAGACCTTCATATGGCGCTGGTCAATCTCACTCTGTGACATGAAACGTTGGTTGCCAGTGAGCTTTCGAAGACGCTCTGCTCGGCGGAGGAGAATGTTGGCACCGCTGGTCTCAGGGAGGAGAAGGAACATGAGGATGAAGATAGGGGCCGAGGCCCAGATACTCTCGTAAAGAGACCATCGCCAGTTCTTTGCGGGTACGGCGAAACCGCTGATCAGAGGACCGAGAGCCGCTGTGTATGTTAGTTGAAAGCAAGAGACGGCGAGAGTAGAGGAGACTTACGACCACAGTAAGCAGCCGAGACCCAGGCCATCATTGCATAGGGGAGAGCCATGAGACTGTAAATATCTCCCAGTGAAGCACCACCAGAAGCCAAACAAGGCGAGCCAAAGAAGCCTTGAAGGAATCGAAGAACCATGAGACCGGGGTAGTTATCGACTAGTGCTGTTGGGATAGAGATGATAACAAAGAGAAACATTGTGATAATGTAAACGGGGTTTCGTCCAATTCGAGGAATCTCACTCAGGGGTGAGAAAATCAGAGGACCAATACCATAGCCCAAGACATATAGTGCAAGACCAAGCGTAGCTTTGAGCTGGCTCACCCCGAAAGCGCGCATTACACCTTCAGTGGAGGATGTGTAGATCGCAGAGGATGTATAGACGACAAATGTGTATAGACAGATAATGAGGGAGACACCTAGGCGGCGGTTGTTGGTCCAGTTATGAGGATTCTCGTTATCGTCGCTGAAGTACCAATCGACAAGGATAGAACCATCCTTTGTTCGCTTGGGAACAACAGGGATAGACTTGACCTTCTCGACATCGTGCTCTTCATCGGCTTCGAGTCTGTCGACAGTGTAGGCTTGGGTATCTTGGGGAGATCGCGAGCGATGGAGTCTCATAGGCTGAGGATCAGCACGTTCGAAGTCGTCGTTCTCATTGTTCCTCTCGCTCTTCTCATTCTCACCCTTGGGCTTGGAATCTTCCTCTGCTGCGACAGTGGATGAGGCTGAGGATGCAAGAGCTGTACCAGTGAGAACTGTGTTGTCGTTGGGAGAAGACTCTTCGATGATAGCGTCGGGATTGTTGATCACTGCAACCCAAGACTCTGGGAGCTTGAAGTCGGGCTTTTCTTCTGGGTACTGCAGGTATTTGTTGCGAGTGACGAAGCGGATGAGTTGCCCCAAGGGAGCATCTCTGATAAGGTCAGACATATTGATGTATATCTTCTTATCAAGATAACCGTATCAAAGGGGGACAAGAAGAGGTTATTGAGTGGGAAGGGTTCTCTTTAAGCTTATTATGCTAACTGAGATCTGGAGTTCAAATCTCATGAGGTATGCACTCGTCTTATACTCATAATTGTCTCCCACTCGCCTGCTCCTCTGCAAGCTCTTACACCACGGAGCTTAGCAATCCGGAGTTAGTCAACCATCATGCTGTAATACAATCTTAGCCCTTCCACATGTCTTTGATAATAATGGCCCATACGAGCAAGCATAACTCTGTAAGCCACTTTCGGACTAACATGCCTGACGTTATTACCAATCCCTGCTCGGTGCTCGGCCTACTTTATTATCCTAGAGGTGATCAACAAGCTGCAGGTTTTGGAATAGTCTGGACCTAAGCGGAGTTTAGGGCTGACATTTAGTTAGGATTGGAGGGCGATTAGTATTTATCACCGGGGGTGAGGTTTTGCTCATCTGCGTGAGCACTTACACTCTAATACTGTATGTATGTATTTTCACTTTAGCCTGTGGGTCTATTACGAATGAATTTGTCTACATGGGATTGATGGCCATCTGAGAAACTGAGTTCATAAGTTATGTCGTCATTGAGATCCGGATGCTCGGCTGCCTTTTTCTTAGACTATTGTTGATCTGTGTGAGCACTAACAACACGACGATATGTACATACATCTTGGCTGCTTACCTACCTATATCTCTTTGGCTCTCCCCCTTACGCATGTCTCTCACCTCAGCGGTAAGCTCCAAGAGCCCGCCAGCTCATAACTAACATGCTCAGCAAATAAAAAAACTAAAACATATCTTGAACCCCAAAGATCAGCACGAATGACCCAAATGGGTGAGACCCTCCGCCATCTGCCGTCAAAAGCTTAGCAATCGTCCCGGGGACGTGGTGCCAAGATCACCCAATCAGATGCTCAAAGACCCCTGGATTAATCACCCTCGGTGTGACGTCTCCCCGGTCGACGAGCCTCAATTGTCCTTGAAATGCCGAGACTCTACGGAATATTAATCACGACGGACCAACTCTGGTCGCTTTCAAAAAGAAAATTGTATATGAGTATACCATTTCATATGACTCATTGTATTCGTCCTTTTTTTCGGCCGAATAGTGAAATCTCTTCTTATATACCCCAACAATATCCGAGTCCTCCACACCAGAACAGCCAACAGCTTTCCTGGGGCTGGTAGGACCTTATATCTCACTGACTGAGACCTAAACGCCCCAGCTACTTAACGATCAGCGCCCGCTCCCCAGCCTGATAAGAATCATGCTCAAGCTAAAAATACAAATACAAATACATCGGATAGCCCGGGACCCTGCTTACTGTAATGACACTTCAAGGCCAGACATGAAAGCTCAGAGGTCGCATTCTTATGTTCGTCACGTCATTGACGCTCACGCACAACAGCTGGCCTGCTTGACGCGATAAGCTCAAATATACACAGTAGCTAGTTGATAGGTTCGACATCATCCAATGCTGACCCAGAAGTGCAACCAGAGACTGGATACGATAATGCAACGTAATAGTCTCTTTCCGGTGCATTCTTGGCCCTAAAGTCTCATTCTTGAGCTGATGTCTATTGACTTATGCATTATCAACTGCTTGCCCTCCTCTGAATGCGCCGTCGTTGAAGCTCCCTTCGTACCATTATGGCCGGTGCGTCTTGGCCTTGGTCTAGTAGGTCGACAATCTTCCACACTCCAGGGTGCTCTGCGTCAAGGGCCAGCTTGATGAATGGCTCAACCCAACTTGCAGACCTCCAGACAGGGTAATCAGGCGCTGCATTCTTGGCATAGTCAATGAACTTGAATGCCAGGTCAAAATCGCCCATCTGTGCGCAGGCTGGGATTATCACGTCAAAGGCGGGGCCCGCTTCGACTTGATCCATCCACGTCTCAGGGACTGTGCCATCGTCATTACCTGGATCCTTTTTAGACTTCTCATCCCCTATTGACACTGAGGTGGTGTCAATCTTGGCAAGTTCGGAATTGTAAGCCACTGCAAGGTCATACTGCGTCTTTGTTTGGCTGGCATGACGAAGAAGAAGTCCAATGTCTGACAATCGGGGACTTTTCCCGGTGAGGAGGTGCATGTCATTGAACAGGTGCATAGCAGCTTCTGAAGCTCGGGTTCGAGCCAGAGCCTCGATCGTAACCATAAGGACTTCCTGAGGAACAAGCCCCTCTTTGCGTAAGCTCTGAATAGCAGCCTCAGCTTCGCTAATAAGATTGCGATTCTTGAGTAAAGCCCGTAGAACGGGCATTGTGGTTTCTCGGAGAAGGAGGCGCCCGTTGTTCTGTTGCAGATTCAAAAGTTTAAGCGCACCCGTCACATCCCTCGAATTAGCGAACGCTTCCACCATAGCATCATTATGCTGCTGACGAGGCTTGCCATGAATCGCCAGCTTCTGGAAAGCCTGACTGGCGAGTTCAGTGTCACCGTGCCTGGCCCCAGTGGCCAGAACGTTCTCAGTCATACCATATGAAGGGCTGTGAATTGGGATATTGACAACATCTCTCCATACGAATGTTGTTCCTTCGTGGTGGAAGCCCTGGCTGAACATGTCCAAGG